GGTATGTGGACTGTTAAAATTGTAAAAAGAAATAACCAGTACAGTTTTTAAAAAGACTGAGAAAGCTCAATCTGAGACAAGTGGGATTTTTTTTTATACTGTGTAATTTTTTTAATTGGAGCATGATTGCTTTACCATGTTGTTAGTTTCTGCTGCACGTCAATATGAATCAGCCCCCCACCACCGGGGAGCATGATTGCTTTACCATGTTGTTTCCGCTGCACGACAACTGGAATCAGCCCCCCACCACCTGGGTCAGCTCGGAGCACCGGGCGGAGCCCCCTGTGCTACCCAGGCCTCCCCCTCGGCGCTGAACACGTGGTAATGTGTGGGATCCTTTACCAGTTATTATTAATGCAGCTAATGAGGTGGCCCCACTCAGTTTCCTCTCTGGGAGTGAGGCCCTGGCAGCCAGCACGTACTGAGTCCTCAGCTCAGTGCTAGGCACTCACTAGCCAAGCACCACCTCCTTTATTTTTCAACAACCTCATGAAGAAGGGTGCTGATCAACAGCAGCTGTCACACCTACTCATCACTGCTGTTCTCTCGGAAGCAGTCACACACAGTAAGTAATGAGTGGGTGTGGCTGTGTTCCGCAGGGGTTGGGTTTCAGCCAAAGGCTGGAGTTCTGGACTCCCGCTGCAGACACTTGCCCAAGGCTAGGAAGGGGCTGATCCAACATCATTCTCTCTTACTTTGACGACCAGTGAAGGACATGCATCAGCCACTCAACTTTCTCCTCAATAGGTTCTCTTTTCTGCTCACTAGCTCCTCAGAGCATTCACCTTTCTCTTTTCAGAGATGACCTTATGCTCACCTCACCGCCACCTCCCTGCTCAGGACACCCCAGCAGCCCTGGAAATGTCCCAGCGGTATACATATTGTCCCCCCTCTTGAATCTCCCTCCCACCCCTCTGGGTTGTCACAGGGCACCGATTTAACCTGCTTGTGTCACGCAGCAGATTCCCACAGGCTATCTATTTTACAAATGGTAATGTATGTGTTTCAGTGTTACTCTTTCAATTTGTCCCTCCCTCTCCTTCCCCCACTGTGTCTGAGGCCTCTTTTAATTAAACTAAAGGCAGGTTGGCTCTGCAGCTCCCTAAACCCTGGGACAGGGACACATACACACTACCCACGGATCTCACACGTGTTTCCTGGAGTTCAGAACATTAACTGGCAGAGGCAGCAGTTTTCCCAGCTTGCAGGTCGGAGCTGAAGAACCAGTCACGTCTTCAGACTCCTGCCTCAATCACACCACCACCCTGGTCTCAGCAAAACACCATCTGCCACACCTCACCACCGATGCTGTTTTTTAAAAGCCCAGAGCTGGTCATTAATTGGACCCGGGGGGCAGGGCAGGCTACATAATTTGCAGGAGGTGGCCCTAGTACTAAAGAACCTGCCTGCCAGTGCAGGAGAGATCAGAGACCGAGTTCCATCCCCATGTAGGGATCAGAGGAGGGAATGGCACCCCTCCAGTATTCCTGTCTGGACAGTCCCGTGGACAGAGGAGCCTGGCGGGCTACAGTCCACGAGGTCGCAAAGAGTCAGACTCGAGTGAAGTGACTTAGCTGGCAGTGCAACTGAGAACCCAGGACCCGCGGGTAAGAGCGATCCTGTGTGGGCCCCCTGGGGCGGGGACTGGCCGCGGGCAGCCCACCCATTGGCTCGCTGCTGACCTATGGGGTGAAAGGTCCTCGGCCCGGCCAATCGGATGTCTTTCCTCTGGAATTGAACGGGAAAGACAGGCTGCCCGTTGCAAAGAAACCCAAGTCATATAAAAGATTTCCCAAACCTGCTGACAGTTTCTCCCCACACAGCGGCAAGAATGACCTTCTTAACATCAAACCCGACGCGATCTTTCCGCCACTTGCAACCACCCGTCCACCCTCCCTCTAAACACGGCCCGCTCCGTCACTCCCTCACGCCACTCCGGCACACTGTGCCTTTTTGTTTCCTGAACAGACCGAGCTTGTTCAAGGTAAATGAGTCACACAGGCTGTTTCGTCGGCCCCGCCAGCCTCCCTCTTCCTCCTCAGCTCTTAAAGGTCATCTGCCGAGAGGCCCTCCCGCCGCACCTGGCTGAAGGCGGTCCTCCGGTCAGCCCCGTGCGTTCGCGCCTCTCCATGTGCAACCGTTTATTTTTGTTGGTCTGTGTACACGTTTGCTGTCTGCCTCCCTCGCAGAATCTCAGCTCTGGGGGAGGCGGAGCCTTGCTTGCTGAGTTCATCTCTACCACCCTACCTGGTAAATTACAGGAACTCCAACATACTGTAGGATAAACGAGTAATTGTGTGATTGTGTACTTTCTCAACGGTTGTTCCTGTTACCCAGGAACCTCTTGGTTTTATGTGTTTGTTTTGAATCTGGGCACACTATTGAATTTCCTCACTAGCTCCAAATGCTTTTCTGTTGATCCATTTGGGAATTCTGGCTATAGATAATGACATCTTACAAAGATATTAATTCTGTCCTCTCCAAAAGTTGTATAATTTATTTCTATTTCCTGTCTCATTGCTTCCGTGCCATAGTTAGTTGATTTCAAGACAGTGTGACTGATGAAAATTATGAAGCTCTGGGGGCATACAGGAACTAACAGCAGGATGACTAGCTGAGGAGTGGAAGCACTTAAGCATGGTGTGATAATGGCCTGTGCTGAAGACATAGGAAGGAAAGAGAGTGGCTGGAAATTATTCAGATAAAGGATTGGTGAGACTTAATAATGGGAAAAGGCAGAAGAAAGGGGGAAAATTCTCCAACCTCCAATCTGAATCAAGATACTGTTAATGCATTGGCTCCCGGACAACTTAATCTCAGGCTAAGAGAATATCCACATTTTTTAAAGGAGGAAAGAGTTGATATAGCCAACTGTTTGTCTAGTGCCCATTTTTAACTACTAAACACCACCACGGTCATTTAAGACCCCCAAAATTAAGGATATATCTGAAAATCAATAGCCTTATGAAAAAAGAAGCGAGAAAATTAGAATTCTCATTATAGAAATGGTTTTGAGAATAGGAATTGAAGAAAATTGACAACTATGGCTCTAGGTTCTGACACAGTCTGTCTACATCCAAAATATAAGTTTTCCCAGCATCTTACAAAGGGGGTCTCACTTAGTCTTCCTAACAGCACCCTGTAGTAGGTAACAGACATGCCAAACATGTGTCTGGAGCGCTCCCATTTGCAGAACTTTGATGCCCACATTCCCTAACACATCACCTTGCAATTTATAGCCCATCAAACCCTCTCCTCCTGTTTTCTCCGCCCCGCCCCCTGAACCTGTTACCCACCTCTAGGTTCCTGCACAGACCTCTGTCCCAGTCTAGTCTGCTTGGAGGACTGCTGTTCATCAGGCAGAGGATGGCGTTCATCCTCCTCCCAGAGGGAGGGAAGAAGTAAAGGCCTGTCCACAGGCCACACGGCGGTTGGTGTGGTGAAACTTACATAATATAAAACATACTATTTGAACCATTTAACGTGTACAGTTCAGAGGCACTAAATACATCCACATTGTTGTGCAGCTGGCACCATCATCCATCGCCTGAGTTTTTCACCCTCGTAATCTGAGGCTCTGTCCCCATCCCCCTCCCCGCCCCTGGAATCAACCAATGTGCTTTCTGATTCTGTGAATTTGACTAGTCTAGGTATCTCACAGGTAGAATCAAACAGTATGTGTCTGCACCTAATACACGTTGGCATGGATTGTCAAGGTTAATTAAATATTTGTCCTATACCCAGACTGTACTTCTCCTTCCCCCTGTGCTGTCTACACCGTAGTATCGTAGTGTAAATGCGTCTGGGGGGATAGACATATACACACCACTACGATTGGTGGTATTTACAGAGGGGAACTGAAGCCTGGTGTGTGCAGTGGGGACACACCCCCTCAGTTCCATTGTGGAAACCACATGCCTTAAGGCACAGGTTCCCCGAGACCAACCTCCCTGAGCCTCAGTTTCCTCATCTGTACAACCTCACAGGTTTAATGACCAATTACCAACAATATTTATTGAGTGCCTTCTCGATACCAAGCCAGACACTGCCCATGCCTGGTGTGTGGTAGAGGCTCTGCCTCAGAAAAAACAGGACTCATGAAGAGGGCGGAACCAGTGCCTGAGGTTTCACTCAAAATACTGTATGCAGCTCATAGCCAGCCTGGGTCATTCTCTAGAGGGATTTTAAGTCTCTCTAACACACATGCATGCACACACACACACACACACACACACACACACTCTTCTTTCTTACATTCACCCTCATAGTGGCTTAGTTGAGGGTATTTCAAGGATATGGAGCCCACCTGGACAGAAGTGAGCCCTTCTGCTGAATTTCAAATGCACTGACAGATTTCAAGCTACTGTGGTGGAATTGAGGCCATGAAGAAGGCAGATATCTGCATTAAAGATGACAACCCTCCCTTTGTAATTAGACATGGCAGTCCTGGGATTTCATACCCTTCTCTTTGATCTGGAGAAACTGAAAAGCTGGACATGTCTGTGGGGAAACTACAGGCAGGAAAATAAGGGGTGATGCTTTCTTTACATCACTGCATTTATCCAAATTACCTTTAACAAGTACACATTGCTCTTTTTATATATCTTTTCTTTCTCTGATACAAGCTCCCTGAGAAACAGAAACTCAAACAGAATTCCTTTTATAGGAGGGAAAAAAAAATTTTTTTCCTCAAAGGTCAAAAACATTTGCATGTGTCAACCCACGTACTTTGTGGCCCAGTACCACTTTTCAGTACCCTAGTTTACAGCCATGATCCCCAATCCTTACGCCCTGGGCACAGGCCATCTCTCATTTCCATCTCACAAATGAGGAAACCTAGGCTTGGAAAGTCCGGGAGCTTCCCCAGGGCTGCAGAGTAGCTGGTGGCTGAGATCCATCAAACGCCAAAACCCCTGCCCTTTAACTGCACCACGAGCGCGGCCGAGACTGCGAGCGCAGCTCTGACCAGCTCCCCTGTCCCTGCTGCGTCGTTTCCACAGCCTCCATGTACTCGGAGATCCAGAGGGAGCGGGCCGACATCGGAGGCCTGATGGCCCGACCAGAATACAGGGAGTGGAACCCAGAGCTCATCAAGCCCAAGAAGCTGCTGAACCCCGTGAAGGCCTCCCGGAGCCACCAGGAGATGCACCGCGAGCTGCTCATGAACCACAGGAGGTGGGAGAGGAGCGCGGCTGCCTGAGATGACCACTGAGGCTCGGGGAGGTGCCGCCCCCACCCGCCGAAGGGCAGGCCTGGTAGTCACCCGGGGCAGGTCTGAGGGTGCCCTGTGTGGTCAGCAGCAGACACCATGGAGGTCCAAAAGCCCCGTAATCCCGCCTAGTCAGTCACGGGTGCCTGCCCTCACAGAGGAGACCGATGTTTGACCAGATGGTGGGATGGGTGCTTTGAGGAGCCACCAGCCTGGGCTCCAGGGAGGAAGTGATGCCTCTGGAAGGGTGGGAGGGAGTCAGCCGGGGTCGGAAGTGGGCCCTGGCCACGAGAAGCAGATGGATGAGGATGTGAGTGTGCACAGGAACCTGGAGGCTCTCCGAGTGACTGAAGATTGTGGGGGGCCAGAGGAGAATGTGGCCTGTGAAGGGTCCCAAGGCGGGGTGTCACCGTGGTTGAGGAGGTAGGAGTGGAGCAGGAAGGCCAGGAGCAAGCAGTGGGCCAGGCTGGAGCTCTGAGCCCTGGGACCACTGGGTGCCTGAGGGGCTGTGCTGAAGGGCAGGCCTCCCAGGTGGCATAGTGGTAAAGAATCTGCCCGCCGATGCAGGAGACACAAGAGACGCAGGTTTGATCCTGGGTCAGGAAGAAATGGCAACCAACTCCAGTATTCTTATCTAGAAAGATCCCATGGACGGAGAAGCCTTGCAGGCTGCAGTCCATGAGGTTGCAGAGAGAGTCAGACACGACTGAGGCAACTGAGCACGCACGGGGAAGGGGAGGGAGAGAGAGGCTGAGCTCCCTTAGGCTCCCTTCCTAAGAGGGTCTCTGCCCGCAGCTCCAGGACGAAGGTTGCAAAGCCTCCGCGGCTCCCTCTAGTGGTCGTTTTTGGTATTGACGCCGGCGGTGATTGTCCTTATTTTCAACTAACATACCTTCCAGCAGATCTCATTTTTCATCCTCTGTGTTGTCCTCCCGCCCCTTAGTTACACTACTCTCTCTGTATCCGCCGGGACTGGTTCCAGGACCCGCCCCCCCACAGAACCCCAAAACTCAAGGGCCTTGTATAAAGTGGCATTGCACAAATTCAATCTGTGGAAACGGAGGGTTGACTGTGTATTGGAAGTACTTTTGCCAAGATCCCTTTTAGAGTCATCCCTTTTAAAATCGCCACAGCTTAAAAAACAGAAGCCTAAAGACAAATCAGGGCAAATGTTTGCAATATAAATGACAAAAATACATACGTTATCTCTTACAAATCCATGAAGAAGAAATGAACAGACGATAGGTACAGTTAGTTCACAGAACAAACAAAAGGAGCGGGCACCCTTCTACAAGCTGCTCCACCAGACCCTTTTTGCCTACCAGATTCTGTAAGACAAGAAGATGGGACAGTAAGGAGAAACAGATGCTCTGAAATACTGTTGACAAAAGTTATAAATTGGATAACCTTTTCTAAGGAGCAGATGGGAACATGTAACCAAAATCTTTGAAGAGAGCCTGACCCAGCAATTCTACTTCTAGAAACTTACCCTGAGAAAATAACCAGTAATATCCTACAGCCTGGTCTCTGTGCTCAGACAGATCCGGGTACAGACCAACCCCCCCCCCCCCCCCCCCGGCTTCAGTCTGTGGCACCTGTGACGGGGACTGGAGTCTCAAGTCTAGGGGCCTCCCTTCCCTGGGACAGTCATGCTTTCCCGGTACTGGCTGAGGCCAGTGCAGGGGGGGGGGGGGGGGGGACGACTCTCCTAACGCCTCCCCCCACCCCCTCCCCAGGGGCCTGGGTGTGGACAGCAAGCCGGAGCTGCAGCGTGTCCTGGAGCACCGTCGGCGGAACCAGCTCATCAAGAAGAAGAAGGAGGAGCTGGAGGCCAAGCGGCTGCAGTGCCCCTTCGAGCAGGAGCTGCTGAGACGGCAGCAGAGGTTGAACCAGGTGGGTGGGGGCCCCAGACCCCGCCCCTGCTTCCTCCAAGACCGCCTGCTGGCCCAGGGGGGTGCTCGGCCTGCAGTCACAAATGACAAGGAGGCTGAGCCAGACGAGGACTGGACCCAGAGTCCAAGCCTGGCCTGTGTCCTCACTCGGCCACTCCCTTCGCTGTGTGACTTTGGACCAGTGACTTCCCCTCTCTGAACCGGTTTTCTGTTGGCCCAATCTGTTGTACACTGGTTCTGATTATCTTACAGCTGCCCTCTGAGCCCAGAGGAGTTACCATTTTAGAAATGAGGAACCTAGGGCTCAGATGAGGTCTGCAATTTGAAGCGGGCTTCCTGGGGAGAACACAGTCCCCTGCTCTGTCCCCTCAGCTTCCAAGCTGGTGGGAGAACTGATCCTGGTTGGGTCCAAACCCAGAGGCTTTTGAGTGGGGCTCTCCCCCTCGCCCACCCACCTCTCATCTCTGCTTCTCTCCCCTTCAGCTGGAGAAACCCCCAGAAAAGGAAGAGGACCATGCCCCTGAGTTTATTAAAGTCAGGGAAAACCTGCGGAGAATCACCACTTTAACCAGTGGAGAGAGGGCGCTGTAGAGCCGGCTCGCGGAGCTCCAGCGCCCCCCAGCCCGCCCGGCCCCCACCGCGCCCTCCTGTACCTGGCAGCCCTGGCCCCCAGACGCGGCTCTGCGGCGTTCATGCTCACTCCTGGAAAAACGCATCGCCCCACCCCCAGAAGATGGGGGGCCCTGAATGCAGGCTTTTCCTTCTAGCGCTCACTGCTCCTGCTCCAAGCAGCAGCCACTGCTGAGGGAGCTCTCCCCAGGCTCCCTCCTTGAGGGGCTGCTGAGCCCCGCCAGGAGGCTTCGGGCGGAGCTAAGAAGGGACGGGTGCCCCTCTGGCTGGACGAGCTGCCCGGGCCCCATGGGGGGCACCTGCCTTGAAAGCCTGAGGGGAGAACGGCCTGTCCTCAGTAAGGAAGGGCGGGGCGGCCCAAGGCCACCCTCCAAGGCAGAGGCGCACTAACAAAGTCAGCTTCGGCCTCTCCCCACCCCTTCACCTTTACTCCCTCCACACTCCCCCGCCCCCACCCAGACCCTGTAACCACAGCACCCCAGGGCTGCAGCGCTCCGCTTCTGGAAACTAGAACAGTGCTGCTTGAACTTTACTGTGCCTATGATTACCAGGGCCCTTTGCTAGAAGACGGCTTCTGATCCCGCAGGTTGGGGTGAGAGCTGAGAATCTTGTTTCTAACAAGCTCCTGGGCTGCCGCTCTGAGGCCCACACTGTCCCTGGCAAAATGCAGGATCCAAGGCGAATATAAGCCCCCCCAGCTCCCGTGACCCCCATCCTGGAGATTCCCATCCGCATCCAAGGCGCTCTTTATTTTCCTCCCACCCCAGGGGCCCTGGGCCCGGGAACAACCCTAGCTAGGAAGTGGTGTTGGTTATGTGACCAGAGATGCATGTAATTGCCAATCTGCCTTTCTCACCATACTGATGCAATTCTAGCCAAAAAAACTCACAAAACTTTTTTAAAAGAACCTTTCCCCAAAGTCTACAAAAAGCAAATATATAGTGATTTTCAACAGGCTTTGGAAAACATAAAAAACCAGTCTGAAGGCCCCACCACCACCCTGACACCCTGGCCCCACTGATCAGCCTGAGGCCCACACCAGACTCGGTTTCTGTCGCCTGAGGCCAACTCCATGAACTCACTCACAGGTTCTTCCTCCGAACTGGCCTCCCAGCACTAGACCAAATGTTTGAACTTTCACTTCTGTCCCATATTTAAAGATCTGGAGACCCCCCAGGCCTTTTCCTTTTCCCCTGAAGAATAAAACCCCTGCCCCATAGCTCAGTTGGTAAAGAATCTGCCCTCAATATGGGAGACCTGGGTTCAATTCCTGGGTTGGGAGTTTCCTTGGAGAAGGAAATGGCTACCCACTCCAGTGTTCTTGCCTGGAGAATCCCATGGTCAGAGGAGCCTGGCGGGCTACAGTTCATGGGATTGCAAGAGTCGGACATGACTTAGTGCTATCTTTCTCTCTCTCTCTGGCTTTGTAAACCCGTCATTCAAGGTAACAGGGCACTAGTAGAAAAGCATTTCCTTTTACCCCCCACCAAGACTGCTGGACAGAGCTGCCGCTGGGATGCAGTCTGGCACCTGGACTGAAGGTGGGAGGGAAGGGACCGCCCTGGGTGGCTGGAGGGTGACCAGAGACATCGTCCTTCTCCTGTGTGTGCTAAGGGGCGTGAATATAGACATGGTGTGTGTGGAGGGAGGCTCTAAAAGGCTCTTGAATGTGACCATTTTGGTGAGAAGGAGGGAATGCTGTTTTACATGTGTGTCCGGCAAGGGTCACACTAAAAATGCACAACCCCTGCTTAAAGACCACCACTTCCCCAAAGAAGTTGCCCCATGTCCTTGAGACCTGAGGAGAACGAGACTGAGCCTCCAGGATGGAGGAATGCTTGGGGGTTCACCGTGGGCCCGAGAGGTGCTCCATGGGGGCATCAGGGCATGGAGACAAAGCCCTGGCAGTATTAGAACAGACCTCGAGTGCCACGGCGTCCACCGAGCCCGACAGACACCCTTGATCCTGCCCCAGGGCTCAGTCCCCACTCCTCTCCAGCCATCTCCCACAGCAGAGGCTGCAAACACAGCATCTCACTGCTGCAGCCTCCTCTGCAGTTTGGGGCGACCATGCGACCAGGTATGGCCAGTGACATTTACAACAAAGTCTACAGGGGGTCCTGGAAAGCTTGTTGTTCTGACAAAAGAGACAGACTGGGTAACACCCCCTTGCCCCTCCCTCCTCCCTCCCTTCATCGAGGCTGGGATGGCTGGAGCCACAGCAGCCATGTTGCGACTATGAGGAAAAAGGCCGAGAGAATCTCAGAGACACGGGCCCGACTGTCATGTGACCAAGCCAATGCCAGCAGCCATCCTCCTCCCAGATTCTTGTAAATACAAATAAATCCCCCTTGTTTAAGCTACTGTTGGTCAGTCTCTATTCTGTGGAAAAACACTCCTAACAGAAGCCCAGCTCTGCGGCCCAGAGTTACCTGTAGAATGTCCTGAAAGTCAGGTTCCCCTCTGCCATCAGAAACCTACTGGATCAGGACCCCCAGCAACAGTGCCAACGATATGTTTCTGCAGCTCTGCCGGGCAGCCTACACAGCACAGGTCTGCGAACAGGCGTTTGGGCGTCACCGACTCACATCAAAAGTACGTGTTGAGAGCCTGCTCGGTGGCAGGAGACGCGCCACATGTGGGGGACACGCCTGGATCGCTGCGGGGCCGCCGCCTCCTGTTGACCCTGCTTGTGCGCCTGCCCCCCACAGGCTGTTCTTGACAGCAGCTGAAGTGTTAACAATCCTGTTAAGATCTAAGGCAGATCTCGTCTGACTCCCAGTCCAGTCCTTCCTGTGACCTAGAAGGTCCTGCGCATCCTGCTCTCTCTCTCACCTCTGCCCCACTTCCCACCGCCCTCCCCTTCCTCACCCAGCTCCAGCCAGGCCACCCCCTGCCCCGCATACCCTGCCTGTCCACCTGCTCTGCCCCGGGCCAGGACCAGCCTTCCCTCCCAGAGCCACACAGCACACTCCCTAGCGTTCTTCAGGTCTTTTTCATGCTCTTCCTAAACCAGGTCCCCTGGGTCACCCTTGCTAGAATCTCAACACCTCTGACACTCTTCCTGTCCCTCCTTGCCACTGGTCCCCATCTACCATGTATTCCCTTCCCTGTGTGTCTCTCCTAAGGATAATGTTGGCTCCATGAGGGCAGAGACGTGTGTCTGTCTTGTTTATGGTGAATCTCAAACGGCCATCCTCCTTCCCTGCCAGCAGGTGGCCTCCCTGGTGCTACTCTGGCAGCTGGGCCCCAGGAAAAGAACCCCAGCCCCCGCTCACGGCTTCGAGGACCCCAGCCCCCCCAGTTCACGGCTCTGAGGACCCCAGACCCCCACTCACGGCTCAGAGAACCCCAGCACCCCCGCTCACGGCTGAGGACCCCAGCCCCCCCGCTCACGGCTCTGAGAACAGGTGCCGTCCGCTGAGTGCACGGGGCACATGACAGGCGCTCAGTACACATCTGCTGAATGAAGGAGCGAGAACCCCTCCTCCCCCCATCTTTTGCCGCAGCACCTCCAGCCTCCTCCCGGGCACAGGGTGCAGCCCCGTCCTCGCCCGTGCCCGCCTCCGCCACGCTGACCCCCGCCCGGAGCTGTCCGTTTGGTCCAGCAGCTCTCCTCCGGCTTCCCGGGCTTCTGTCGGCGCGCCTGGGTCCTTCCAGAACTTGTGCCTTCAGGATGCATGGTGGAGCTGCTTGGCTCCCACCACCCACTTTCTGGGCCCCCCTAGAGTTAGGCCATCCCTGAATGCAAAGGTCAGGCATCACCCTGTCCTAGAGATCTTGAAGAGGGAGAGGCCCGAGGCTGTAGCTGAGACGGCAGACTGTGCCCTAAACGGGGAGCCGAGAGCAGCGAGCCCTGTTCGCACCGAGGTCACACTCACACCCACCAGACCACAAGTCCCGTGTGGGTCTGAGACACCCTCTTCAGTGGCAGACCAGCTGTGACGCTGGCGGTAAAGAATCTGCCTGCCAAAGCAAGAGACACAAGAGACAAGGGCCTGATCCCTGGGTTGGGAAGATCTGGAGGAGGAAATGGCAACTCCAGGATTCTTACCTGGAAGATCCCAGGGACAGAGGAGCCTGGCGGCTACAGTTGCAAAAAGTCAACACAACTGAGCGCGCACACGCACGCACACACGCACGCACACACACACACACACACCCCACCAAACACAAAACCTGGGGGACGTACCTGCTGCTCCAGTGGCTAAGACTCCACACTCCCAATGCAGAGTGCCCAGGTTCAATCCCTGGGAGGGAACGCCACAATTAAGTCCCGGAGCAACCAAAGAAATATTAAAAAAAAAAAAAAAAACCTTGGGAGAGAGATGGGAGAGCTCAGGAGGCGAAGGGACACCTTCTCCCTGGCTCCACAGTGTGTGCTCCAGGGGCGCTTTTATAGGCCAAGCTCACCACACTTGACATTATACAGATTCCAGGCCTGATGAGAGCAGGGACCCATCTGACTGCTCCCCCTTACCACTCCCAACCAGGGCTCTGCACACAGTATGTGTTCACAAAAGCTGTGACTAGCTATCATTTACGATTATCCATAAATGTGACACCTTATCCATGCTGTGACTGGACTTACGGACGGCCAGCACGGTCACCACCCGCAACAGTCTGATCTCATCCTCCCTGTTATGCAGATGAAGAAACCAAGGCTCAGGTTAAGTTAAAAGACCTGATCGTCGTTGTTGCTCAGTTGTGTCCAACTCTTTGTGACCCCACGGACTGCAGCACGCCAGGCTTCCCTGTCCTGCACCATCTCCCGGAGCTTGCTCAAACTCATGTTCATTGAGTCAGACCTGAGAGAAGTCACAAAACAATCCCTGGTGGAGGAGACGAGATTCACACACAGCCGTCTGTCTGAGAAGTCTACAGTTTTCCCACTACAGCCAGGCCACGCTCTTAGAAAGGGCTCGCGGGGGCCCCTATGCCATCCTTCGGGGCACAGGACCGGGAACCAAGCTCTCCTTCCTTTTGCCCATCTGAACTTGAGGTTTCCTTTCCAACCACAAACAGACGCAGGGTAGCGTACACCGACCTGAGTCCTGCAGTGAGGAATGTGTGTGGAGTGTAGACGTGGCCCCACCCCAGGACCACAAAGCCAGCCGGTCTCTGGGACCGACCATCACTGCGGGATTTCCATCCCCTTGCAGAACCAGACCTGTGACTCAGCAGTGGTCTAAACTGTTTGATGTTTCATTGCTCCCAGAAACTCATCAACCAACCTCAAAGCCCCTGCTCCCACCAGGGCCTTGTTTTACAGCGCCCCCTCTTGCTGGGTCTCTTGAGAACAGAGCCCTTTCATCCCTGTGGTTGCTGTCCTCACCTCACAGCTATCCGCGTTGATGATCGGCTGGCACTCCCCCAGAGAGGAAGAGGGGCTGGGCCGTTTTCCAGTACTGGCCCCCTCACTGAATCTGCCCATCCATTTCCCAGAAAGCACGTGAGGAGGGACAAGCAGGACTGCCCGGGGAGAGGCCCTGGCAACCCCTGGCTGCTGGGCAGCGGTTAAGCTAGCCGGGCTCCCCCTCCAAGGGAGGGCTTCGCACGGGACCGGGGCATCCAGTTCTCCAGTGTGTGTGCCTGCACTAAACTGCTCACTTCCCCCTGCAAGGTCAGTACCAGGCCTGCCCTGTAAGGAGGGTTAGTTCTGGGCCCACCTCTGGATTCAAGCCCCAGCTCTGCCAATCACTACTTGTCACAAGTCTGGGCAACTCAACTGAACCGTGTTTTCCACAGCTGTGACACAGGCAATGATATCTGTACTCACTGAACATTCAGTGTCTGTGCCAGGGACTGGGCTAAATACTCTGTGTGAATCTCCTCGTTAATCCCCCAGGACTGTCCTTACCTCCATTTTACAGGAGAATCCAAGGTTTAGAGGCAAAGCAACTGCACAAAAGCACACCGCCAGCAGGCGGCGGGAGCCAGCCGTGAACTCTCTGCCCCGCTCCCCGCCCCCGCTGCCTGTCGGCTCTCCAGCATTAACAGCGTCTGCGCATAGAGGCTACAGGACACTGTTCTGCAAAGCACCCACATTCCAGCCTTCCCATCTGTTGCCCGAAGCATCCTGCAAGCCTACGGAAGCCAAATGGCCTTCCTTCTTCCTTCTCTCCCAGCAAGTGGCCCCGCCCAAACCAATCTGAGAAGGAAGAGCAGGCGGGGGCCCAGAATCCCAGCCCCATCCCGTTCACAGCTTTGAGAGCAGACCGTCCAAACGGGCACAGGAGTCCGCACGCCTGCTCCTGGCCCAGGAAGCTCAGGGAAGGAGCAGGAAAGAGGAAAACATGCATTAAGCACCTACTATATGCCTGGCAGCTCTCAGAACACAAGAGAATAGACACAGGGTACCGTGCCCAGGGCCTGGCACATTTCAAGGGGTGGAAGTTCCTTCTCCCCCCATTTCTGCCGCCCCTTCTTAGGACACTGTGCCGGGGGCACAGCATGGCTGTTGAGGGCCAGGCCGCAGAGCCAGACACACTCTGGGCTTGGGGGTGACACAGGGGACCTGGTTCTGCCATTCGTCACATGGGCGGTGACCCTGGCACCTTACTTACCACCTCTGAGTTTCTCATCGGTTAGATGAGGACTCCAGGAGTGCCAGTCTCACCGGCTGTTCAGAGGGGTGAATCAACTGACAAACATGGTGTTCGTTAGGTGCAGGCACACGGCCAGCACTCAAGGAAAGTTAATCATCGTCTTCCTCGTCCTCTGTCACGTTGCTCTGTCACGTCTGTCACTGACCAGACCCCTCCAAGTTCTCTTTCCACGGGTTCATTGCTCTTAGGCCCTTAGCTCGTCTGGCACCTACCCCTCCCTCATGGTTGGCCACCACCCCAAGACCCTCCACCCTCCTCCCAGTCCCCCCTTTTGGGGGAGGCATCATCCACACCTTCTCAAACCTCAAAGTAAATAAGGGACATTCTAAAAGAACACCTCACCAGTACTCTCTGAAGTCTCAAGGTCATAAAAGACAAAGACAGACCGAGAACTGGACCAATGGAAGAGACAGGACACATAAGCGCAGTGGGGGATCCTGAACCAGGAAGAGGTATGAGCAGGAAACCTGGCAAATCTAGCGTGCAGGAAGAATGAAGGCGGCGGGATTTCAAACCTGGCACGTTCCAGAGGAAGCGCTGACCCTGACAGCTCCTGGGAGATCACCTCTGAGCTCTCAGAATAGCCTGCCTGAAAAGAGAGCCTCTGTTCAGCTGGGGTCCTGGGCCATGCCAG